AAAGTCCAGGTGCCAGCCCCAGGCCACAGCGGCAGCTCGCCCTTGCCCACGCACAGATTCCAAGGGGCACATGTGCCCCCTGTGCCTTCCCTGGGGGTGCACAGCAGTGGGAGCTGCTCCCCCTTCCTGTGGCACCCAGACAAGCCACACTTCCGTCCCCAGGCCTGCCCTGCCTAGGCTGGGCAGCACCTGCCCCCGCCCCACTCACTCCCTCACCGTGGGGGGGCCTCAATCTGCCCTCCCCCACACCCTTTGCCCAGCCCCATCCTGACTTACCAGCTGGATGCTGCTCTTCAAGCTCCCGGGCTACATGGGTGTTGTGGCTGAATGCATGAATGGGGCATTTATCAGCCACATCAGCCAAAAAAGCCGATTACCAATAACGTCACTTTTCCTTACGTCGGTCCATATCGTATCGGCACCAGTAAATCTCTGCACCTCTAAGTACTTCTGGTGGCAGAAATCAGGTGCTGCCTTAAACCAGATTGTTTACTTTGGATTGTGGGTGGTGACAGGGGAAGGGCCAACCTGTTGCATAGGGTTATAGAGTTCATTTTGGAATTTGCAGAAAAATGGCTTGGCTTTTCAGAATAATTTATCCAGGAACTTAATTTTTTTTTGGTGCAGATCATAATAATAAGTTATGTACAGGGGGACAACAGGGATTGTGACTTATGAATCTTCAGTCCCATTTTGTGGTAGTTTGTCTTTGCAATTGAGTTGGAGCATTTTCACATTTGGCTTTGAAAAACAGGCTTACCGTGTTGTCATTAACTGTAATGCTGGTAGTAGTGAAATGTTTTTAGCTAGTTCTGTCCATTAAGCTGTCTCCTTTATAGACCGCAAGTGTGGTTATCTTCTCATCTCCTGCAGAGCTGGCAGGGATATCCTGAAATGCAGTTGGGGGCAGGCTGGGGAATGACTTCTCCCTTTCTCAGACTGAATGTTTCTACTTGAAACTAATTAAACAGAATCATCTAATACCATAGCATGCTGCTGCTGGTTTCCTTTTGTGTTCTTAGTATGCTGTTAGCTAACTCTTGTTTACCTGTTCATGAGAGAATAGCGGTAAGTTTCCCATTTCTCCAAGAGAAATGTAGTTGGCAATTCACGTGTTGTGTTCGTGTGCTATTATCATTGTGAACACTGGGCTGGATCCTTATCTAATGTAATGAGGGCAGGTTCTACTGCAGTTGGAACTGTGCACATTTACACTAGCAGAGGGTTTTTTTTCCTGCATGTTTGTAACCAAATTGTGGCTTTTATATTTTAACTTTCACCCCAGTGCCTTAGACTAGAGCTGTGCAAGTCAGGAGCACTCCTCCTATAACACCGTGGAAAGGGACATTCTTTTTCTGCATAATATAGAGCTTAGTAAAGACTAATGATTTTAGTTCACAAGTCACTTCAGTCTCCTTCGTGCTTGGGGTGCCCCTAGACATGAAGGGAGGCTGCTCAGACACAGTGTAATTGCAGCGCATCAGAGCAGTCTCGATTAATCAAGTCTGCTGGAGCATGCTAATTAGCGTACTCCAGCAGCCTCTGTGTCTCTTGCATCAGTGTCCCTGTACTTCAGAATGATGATGGACGCCCTTTGACTACAGCTTATTCATTTTGAAATGCAGGGACGATGATGCATGAGACGCTGTAGGCACTTTAATTAGAGTGGTTCTCAGAGCTGTTCTAATTAACAAGCTCCGCCCTCCCCCAAGTCCTGGAGCATGTGTGGAAACGCCTTTGGTGTTTAAAGCTGTTCTCACAGTGTCCATTGCATACCCAGTGTGTATGATGCATTACATTCCCATTCTTGAGACTTGTTGCTGTCCTTAGGTGAACCAAAAGACTAGCCATGGTTTTGCATGGAAGCACAAGACATGCCTGCCAGGGTCAACAGTCTTAATGCTTTGTGGTATTATATGCAAGCCACATTGCTACAGCTTCATGTTCAGGCCTCGTGTTCAATCGGCAGGAGGCGGAGTGAACTGAAACAAGATGCTCTTTAGAAGAGATCAGCTGAGCACATCCTTCTCCTCCAACAGTTGTCAGCCCTGATGTATACCAGGTGCCTAGCCTTTAAAGCAGGGTTGGTAGGTTTGATGTTGCTGTAGAGCAGGGATGTCCAAAATATCTCCTAAGGGTCAGAGCTGTATTATGTGGCTCCTGTGGGTCTCAGAGTGGCCCACAAACAGCATGTGGGGTGTGCTAAATAGGCTACATAGTGCCTGCTCCAACTTGGAGTGGTAGAAGCAAAACAGGGCCACACAGCACCAGCTCTGGTTACTCCAGGACATGTGTTGGAATGCAGAGCCAGCCTGTGCACAGGCCCCGTACCACAGGCTGGGTGAGTTTGACACCTCTGTTGTTCCTTCCATAACTAGCAGATTCTCAACACAGCATGTGTTTTTTGTTTTGTTTTATTTTTTCTCACATCTTGAAGAATTTGTTCAAACCAAGAGGTAGCTAATGGAGGATCTGTAATATCTGTAGTTCAGCCATGATAATCCTTCACCCACTGAGCTTGTAAAGAGATTCCAGACTAGTACTAATGTGTTTGAGTAAGCTTTAGCTAGTTCTGGCATTCTCCTCTGGCTTCCTAATGTGCTCTAAATCAGTGGTGGTACTTCTGGGAAGTGCAGTTCCTGCAGCTGCCATTACTTCAGCCAACTGCTTGTGCAAGTTTGCACCACCTTCTAAAGGTTATGCTCAGGCTGTTGGTTTGATATGGTAGAATTCTGTGCCTAAGCCACATGATTTTCTCCCCATTGCTTGCTAAATATCTCTGGCATTTGATGTGAGGCGGCTGAGTCCTTTGCATACTGGGCCAGTCACAAACTCAGATTCAATGAGAGCTTTGTTCACTAGGTATCAGGAGGACCATGCAAATGGTGTTTATTCTCTAATTTGAATTTTCTTTTTGAGGTTTTAGTAACAAAACTCCACATCTCGCTGTTGCTCCTCTCTGTGTAATTACTGGCTAATTTGACTTGCCTTATTTTTATGTTCACTTTTTCTTAGGAATCTGAGAAACAGATCATTGTTATTCATGTATACCTCAGTTACTTAGTTTCCCAGGCCTTTGACCTCCATACTGTGGCAAGAGATTTTAAACAAGTTAGCTTGTTACTAATGTCACATTAATGCTGATTTCTGCCATCAAGTCCTCATTATCAAGTTAGTATCTGGTTAAAAAACTGGGCACCTGAAAATGAGGAGCTTAGTCATGTTGGTTTGCATATTGGTGATGTATAGGTAGAGAGTTGGAGGAAGAACCTGTCTTGCTAATTTGTTTAGAACACTTCAGTGATCCTTTCTTGATTCTGTTTTCCAGCAACGATCCACTGTGGCCTCAATGATGCACAGACAAGAGACTGTGGAGTGCTTGAGAAAGTTCAATGCCAGAAGAAAGCTGAAAGTTAGTCTGTTTTCTTTTCTGGGTGGTGGGAAGGGGGGGATGTGGGCACGCTAGAAGGGAGAAATAGGTTGCA